CATTCTACTTTTATGCCACTATGAATTACAATTTTATGTTTTGCAGTTCTGCGATTCGGACAACATTGTCGCGGACTTCCGACCGAGATGACACCAGCACAGAAGCTCATCCAGCCCACACTGAGTAAACCAAGATGATAAGCCTATCTTTTAGGTTCTAGTGGCTTAAGGATTTCGCGTGGGTCTCGTTTCGTGATTTGTTTCGAGGTCCTGATCCTCCGGTCTGGGATCTGGCCGAATTGAGCATAAGCTTTGGGCCAGAAAGCAAGATATCCCAGCCTTGAAGAAGAAATGCTTTGTTTCCATTTCCGAAAAATAAGTAGAACAAAAACAGTCAAAGTGCGCACTCAGTGGAGTGCATAAATAAATAAATAAATAAATAAATAAATAAATATAAGAAAACACTTCCAGCTTTATACATTGATTGAGCAGTATTTTACCTAACTGTAATATCAACTTGTGAGGTACAAGAAAGAACGACACAACTCATAACAAATATGGACGCTAAAAGGGTTGGGAATGAGAACATGCAGTGGGTGGGTGGGGCCCAGTGATGAATTTCACAATGGTTGAACTTGCGCTGCGAAAAAAGACGATAGAGCCATTTAAATTATTCAGCTGTAAGAAGGGGACACCTTTTGCCACGTCGTGTAGCCCCCTCCCTTAACCACACCCCAATTTTCGCTTTTTTTTTGTAGTTTACTTTGAAGTGGAATGGTTTTCCGGAGAAAGCTCTTGAATGCTGGTGCTCACGAGATCTATTTCCAATAGGTCATGCTTGACTCTGCCCTCATTTTCTTTGGCAACGCTCCCGGATTCTTTGGGTTCTGTGAATTACAGTTGAGACATCTGAACAGCTGAGAACCAACCATCTACTCCATGGATCTCTCAGAGCGCAGAACCGCCCCGAACCAAGCACCCAGTACCACCTAACTTAATCCGAATTTGTAACCTCAGAGACGAAATAAGCTCGACCCAACTTGAATTACCAAATAAACCATATCAAAACTCAACTGTGTCCTGATCTATTTTCCTACCGTAGTTCTCGCGCAGCAGTACGTCTCCTAGGAAGCATCCAGATCCATCTACAAGATTTACCCTTTATGGCAACCAAAGTTCAAAAAAAAACGGAGATCACTCTAGAACGACCAGAGCATTGCATTTTAACCGGAAAAAATGCCACAAACAGCTAATAAATTAACTGGCTATTTCAGAAGTGAAGTAGGCGCAGCTCGCCGTGCCGAGACGTCGAAGCTAACATGAAGTGCATCTGCGGCCAACACACTCCATTATACAGCGAAAAGCCGCTCGAGTTTTTTCCTCATTTATCCACTGTGGTCTCGACTATCTTGCAATATTTTTCAATAAGTTTGCTGTAGATGTCTTTTGTATTTGCCATTTGTATAAATAATTGAAAGACTACCATTCGAATATCGTATGTTTACTTGTATTTATGTACTCAAGTCTTGAATTAAAATTAGACTGATACGCAAAGTCTAAGACAGATACAGAGGTTTTATCAAGAATTGGCTTCGTTAGGAAGTGATTATACCTTGTTTGGGCTTTTATATGTTTGTTTAGCTTGAAGTCGCTCTGGCAACTTGTAAACTAATCGTGTTGAAAATCATTCTACTTCTCTTTTTCTCATTTTTCTGTTTGGTTCTGGATTCCCTTTCCGCTTTGAAGTCAGTACAACTGCTGAAAATTAGTATTACCAGTACCTTCACCCAACAAGGATTTGTTGCAGTGCTTCTCTATCTCGTTTCGGGAAGTTTCATTAGTTTCATGGAGCGCCTCGCGCAATTCATTTGCCGGTTGACTGTCTCCTTCCTTTACCTCTTAAGTTGCGCTATAAAGTTTACGCTTGGGTAATTTTACAACCGCATCGATTGTTGAGATTGCTTGCCGGGTTTTTGTGAGGATTCTGCCGTTTCTTTTTCTCTGAATGTTATGGCTTGCATGCCGTTACCTTCCCATTCAATTTTTCTTACCAAAAGCTAATTTCCTGTTTAATTAGCGAATACAGATTTATCCGTTAGTCAGATGGTTTGCTGGAAATGCCATTCTGACTGAACGAGAATGATTAATCAAAAAAAGCCAAAAGGTCGTAAAGATTTCTGAGTCATCGGAGATAACGCCGTGAAAAAGTCGTCATTTGTTTTGTAGCGAATGCCGATCGAATGAGAATCCGAGATTTGTCGAAGTTTCGGTAGCTCCAAGATATCATTAACTAAGAGTAGAAGAGTACTAAGTAAGGAATGAAGTTGTTGGAGTTAATCAATCCCATTTTTGTCATGCGCCGCTTATTCGACTTCCATTCCAAATCGTTGTGGCGTTTTGAACCCGTATATGGTCTATACATTGACAGCCGATGTACAAGACAGTGCTTTTATCCTCCCAGACGAATCTGGTTCTAACCAACTAGCCCCGGAGGGATGGAAGGCTTAGATGGCCCGAGTGGATACCGATCAGGGATTTGTTCTATAGCATGCGTGTTGATGGTGTGCCTAGTACATGGCACCACACCAGTGCGTTCATGTCGGATTCACTTACAGCAGTTTTTGATTAATTCGGTAACAAGGTGAGCCTCACACGGGTGTTGTTGTAGAAGTTTTACTTGTTGCTGGTCTCTTAGCATGACGCCAGTGAATGAAAGGGTTTTCTTCGTTGAAATAGATACAGCTGTTCAGTTGCTTACAAACAGTTTATGTAGCTTCACAGGTGTTCAAAGATTTTCTTGCCTCGTTCCAACACTCATATCATCGTTAGTCATTGAATGCGCTCAAGCTCGCACCACTGACATCTCCATTCATCTCTGTCGCTTTAGTCGGTGAGCCCTCCCTCTGTGAAAGGTTTCACGCTCAGGTCTTATTAGGGAGTCTGACTGATTCTTTGTGAACTGGAAATTGCGCCGTGACCCCTCCATTCACCTTTGCACCCATTCCCATTCAGCCATTCTCGGTAGTCAATAAGCCCTCCCTCTGTGAACGAAATTTTTCTCATTCGTTTTCATTGGGATACCTACGCGTTGTTGAACTGGTAATTGTGGTTCTTAGCTTGGGGTACTCATTGTCGTAATGGGATTGGATTCTGCTGAAAGCATCCTAATTGTCCGGGTCCACAGCTGCGAATGAGTCAAAAGTGTCGCAGCTGCCACCAGTGCCAGCCTTCGGACCCATTTTACTTTGATTACGTCCGGCTGACTCACTCTCTTTTTCCATTGTATCGGTTTCTTCCCGAGAGAAGAAATGGATATTGAAAATTGTCGGAATTCCTCGACAATATTGCTAAAGGTCCATGCTTTTTGGAAAACTGAGCCAGGAGCAAGGATAACCCTTTTCAGGATACTAGTTTTCTCTTATTTCTCATCGAAGTGGTAATGCCGGTAATGGGAAGGATCGTAGCACAGTTGCATTTTTCCGGTATTTTTTTCGGCCGACTATTTTGTACCCCTTTTATTCGAATTTCCGATTGGCTTGGTAGGTGGTTAGTTTTCTTTCGGGATGAATCGATTACTAGTTGTATCTTATGAGTTGTCGTCACCCCTATGAGGGCTCATAAATTGTCGCTGAGGAGAGGATCAATCTTCCAATGGGCGAGCGTCGTTTAATTGACTGGCTGGCAGCCGTCGACCGCGCTCTCTTGACATGGCTCCTTAGACAGCCAGGAGGGGCTTTACCTAGTAACTTTTCTAGAAATTCGGTTGAAATGGTTTTTTATTTAATTGGCAACTAAGTAATTGCGTATATTTCGTAAAAGTGGTTGCCTTTTTCCCAAAAAAAAGTCCTTTAGTTTATTATTTATTTTAGTTTATTTATTTATGTTCAATAAAATACTCAGGTACCTGGTCTAATAATATAAAACACCTTGAAAGGAAGGTCGATACCCTTCTTGTTAAAGCAAGCCTAACGAGTAGCTTTTTGATTTCGGCTTCCATAGAGCTAAGTTTTTTTTTTGCTGGTGATGGAGGCGCAGAAAAAGTTAATTGGCCAGTAGGCGCGCTAAAAATTGTTTTGCTCTAGAGAAATTGAGGGTTGAGTTCTGTTATCTTCATAGAAAAGTATTGTTAATCCTAAAATAGACATTTGTTAGGGAGTATTTGCTTCCTAGAATCATCGGTTAAACTGATATACCATCTTTTAGGGGTCCTCCATCCATTCGCCTTTTGTTGCTGCTAGATTGGTCATAAAAACTCACTTGGTCTGTGGTTAGCCGAAAACTGCTTTTTTATAGCTGAACTGCGTTATCATCGAATACGATTTCTCAGAACTGATGATTTGTTGATCCTAGTAAACCCTGAAGGCTGTCACTCCAACGGGGTTGTTTACCTAATTGAAGATTGACTAAAACAATTTCCTCTATCTAAGAATCTCCAAATCAAATCTCCCCTGACCAGGATGGCGTGCTTTTTATTATGGAAACAATCTTTAACTGTATTTTGCTTTTGCGAAATGAAGCCTAAACACCTTTTGTTTCTTTCCTTCCACCAGTTTTCAAGTTTCTGGAGTGTTCGTTTGAAATATCTGGTGAGGGTTGATAACAGTTCTTTGTTGAGCTTCGTTACAAATCTCGTTTTGTTTATATTTTCACTTGCTTTATCTCTCTCCGAATCGCCGTGAATCATTTCATGGTGATTGGCCTGCTACATAAGCACGGATCGATTGACACATGTGAATAATGTGCAGAATCCTCCTTCCTTCCCTCAGATTAATCGGCGAGAACGTCTGAATAACAACCTCTGCCATTCATAACGTGGAGTCGTCGATTCCATTTATTCATTCTTTCTTCGATCGCCTGTGATGATGTCGACTAGCACGAACGCTGGATGCACTTTTGATGACTTCTCTTGGTAGAGCTTAATTTGGCTTAAAATAATTTTCTGTAAACTTTTCAGGGTGACCATGGACCTAAACAAAATGAGCGATGCTGCCAAGGCCGATCTTTGTCGAAAGTGAGCAGTTTTCTTTCTCGTTTTCTTTTTTTGTTTTTCCCTTCGTAGACTGCCAGAAGTTGAACGTCATTTAGATACTTCATAATTGGCCTGTTTGGCCTCCCTTTGGTGTGGCTTACGAACGCAATCTGGTTCTTTGGTGAAGGTTTCCTTCGACCACAAACTCCTACAAGTATTATTATCCGAAAATACGTTACTCTAAGTGCTCTTGGAGTAATTCTGTGGTTTTTCATGTTATCCGCTTGGGAGTTTGTCTTCCAGGTTTGTTTTTTCCCGGTAATTGGATACTTCTTTTTTGTTAAAGGTACGAGTTCATTCACCACTGGATATTATGGCTTTTTCAGTCCTATCGATCACTTGGCGTGGCTTGGGCTGACTATCTTACCTTCATTTTCCCCGTTGGAAGAATTTAGATTCGTTCGAAATTCGTATTTGAATTTTCGAAGAATGCAGTTTTTCTTTCACTACCATGAGCGATTTTTGTTTAATGGAAGTTTCCTTTCGATTTGAAGTTACTGGTCTTTCTTGTCTGAGTAAAAAATGTTTTTACCATTCTTTCATGTCATACTTGTGGCTGTTGTGCGGGTGTGTAATATTTGTGAATCATCCTCAAGTGAGCTTTGAGTTCATTGTATTGATTTTTGTCATAATAAACTTCTTCTATCAAGTTTTTATATCGAAATGCGATGGTATACTACTACTATACAAGTATTTGCCTTGATATATGCTATCTTTTATCGGTGTTATATCCTTCTGATTATCATCAAATGTGCGGTCAGTTCATCAGCAACCCTCGTATCGATTTAGATTTATTTACATGATTCGGCCTCGGTGATTTTCAATAGCAGATATTTGTTATGATTAAGGATCGGTCTAAAATAAAGCAAAAGTGATATCAGAGGCGATGGATGTAAGTGATTTCATTAGTTTCTGGAATTTTCGTTTTCTTTCACAGCATTGAGGTTTGCAAGTGGAAACGGCTTCTTTTGATGATAAATTGACTTCGATCGATTTACAGAATGAAGAGTCGGATGATCAGTCGTCCACATCCACTGTTCGTGTCAATACTCAGAGAACAGTACTATTATCACGCAACAACCTAGACGAATGTTTCGGGTTCGCTTTGCAGGTCCATTTGAATTCACATATTGCTCAGGGTTCTTGTCTGCTTTCCATGTCTACTGCTCAAATTCTGTTTTTTTTTTCAGACATATGTGTTTAAACGTGGTTCTAAGGGGTTGAAAGAACGTATAACTTTCATTGATTATGTGCGAAACAACAGCATCGCTGCAGCTGCAGGCGTTCAAGAAGGTGAGTAGGCGTGAACCTTTCGTTCGTTTTTGCTGCGTTTACCACCGAGGGTTCATTTCGCGAGTACTGAGTCAGAAGGAAAAATGATATCTAGGTCCACTACGTCGCTATTTTCCTGCAGCGGGAATCGCAAACAGTCAGAATTGTCAGCCAAGGTTAGGATGTAGTTGTGAGGGATAATCTGTCAAAGGAGCTTTTCAGTAGTCGGTTGAATAACGGAGAGAAACTTGTTGTTTACAATTCAAGCGGCGGTACTTTTGTACGAGAAACATTACCAGACCAAGGATCTGTTATTATTAGGCTGTGCGAGAAGAATTTCCTTCAAAATTCGCAATAGTCTAGACCTCACTCGGGATTTCCTGGAAGCTTCCTCAGTTTTGTCTAAATACAGTATCCACAGTATACGCAAATTATATCCTGCTGCCTCTTCCTTGCTTGGTTGACCATGTAATTTTCGAAATGGCCATATTAGGTCTCCAGACATCTCACGCGCATGCAAGTGAGTAGTGTCATTTGATAGTGTTTCATAGAAGCCCCAAAAGGTCCCGATGGAAATCTCGACTGTTCAAAGTTTTCGGCAGATACCACACCATCTAATACTTTAAAGGATGGTATCTTGTATTATATTATCGTCAATTTAGAAGTACATTTCAGGAGATGTGGTAATCGCTGTGAATGACCTGCCCGTGTTACAAGAATCGCATGACGATCT